GAACAAACTCCAATCCACACTAAATTGCAACAATCAAATGACACTAGCAACTGTACTGAACCCCCTAAAGGACTTAAAAAACCTTTAAAGCACTAGGCATATATCTAATCAAAACAGGCCTACTTGTACGCATTTAAAACTAAAAGTACAACAAACAAGCTGCCAATAATCCCAAAATTCTATAGCTATAAAAACACACCAACTCCTAACATATCTGGAAACTGTTTTAACGTTATTTATAATATGTTCCAGAATATCAAATCATGTGTTTCCTGTAATTGTAGTTTAACAGGTTTCTTTTCATGTAAATCTGGAGTAAGACAAGGAGAGAACCTGTCACCTGTCTTGTTTGCAATATTTTAAAATTACCTCGAAGCATCTCTTGTACAGGATTTATGTAAAGGTGTCCAATTGAAACCAGATGATTTCTATGATCAAATAGAACATATTTTCACAATACTATCTGCGTTTTTAATGTACGCAGATGATGCATTGCTATTGGCCAGACTTGAAACTTGACTCCTGTGTGAAACAACTGAAACTAAGTGATCAGTTGAGAAACGAACACGGGTCATAATACGAAACGATATGTATATTTGACAAATTTTGATTGTTACAGAGACACATTGCATCGAATAAGTTTCTTTGTACAGTTGCAGACGTGTGGGATATTGTTACTTTATGTGGATATTCACGGATACATTCCTCGAACAAGGAAACTGCCTAAAATTATGATATAACTTTGGTAGGTTGTAATTATGATATTTGCATTTTGTTTTCATTCATTTGCTGCAGCATTGAACAGAATCATTGTTGTTACTCTAAGTCTTGGTTGGGAAGTTCTTGGATGCGCGATGGACGTTGTTCACAAGTAAGCGTCTATATGTTACAGTAATTCCCTCAGGCCATTTATAAAATGTCTAAATATCAGACCATGTATTTAACAGATTGACTAAAATTATTAAGACGTTCAAAAACATCACAATAGGGTAATTATACTAGGAGTAGAAGCCAACCAATATACAAATTTACTTTTAATTCTAACATTTTTAGTCACTTGGTGATGATATTGAACATTAAAATGTTTGGAAGTCGTTTTCATAATAATACAGATGGACAAAAATAAGCAATGCTTAAGCGAAATATTTACTTTGTGTTGCAAGTCAGAATAGTGTAAACGAAAATCGCACAATTATCAAGCAAGTGACTTACTAAAACTTCGTCACAATTACCGATGCTACCCACAAAAATACCTACATTTCCTTAATATTTCCAAAACTGTATTTCATTTTGTTGATAAATGTGACTATACGCCCTTATTCTATCGATAAAAGTGATAAATGCTCTTACACTTGCGCAGCACAGGTCACGAACTAGTCTAAATTTCTGCTGTATCATACGTATACTCACGGCGGAAAAAACAATAACAAAGGCAACAACAAGTCCCGGGGAATTGCTTTAGACCAGTGCCCCTGCATTCAGCAATATTCCAGCTATATGATGGCGGTCTGTCAATAATCGAGTCAAGACCAAACACTCCTGTGATCAACGCAACTGGGATACGATGACATGTATCAACCAAGTCAGCGAGCCTGACCCACCGATCACGTTAGTCGCCTCTTACGACAAGCATAGTCGCCTTTATTAGCCAGCTCTCTACCATTGGTCCACGAACGCCATTACACGTAATCCGTGCTCATTTAACAGGCCATTACCACCCCAGACCCATACGCAATTCGGTAAATAGCGAATGAGGTCGTCCCACGAAGCCGGTTTCTTTGATATGTCGACAGATATTCCGCATGTTGTGATCAACATTTGCTTCCTTGATGTACAAACTCTAGTCTGTGTGACATAACCCCGATATGATATACAAACGTACATGTATACAGCAATACAAATTCTTGACATGATATACATGCATACATTTATACGTCAATACGAACTATTATGATTATTTCTTTCAAATCAGTACCAAGTAAGATGTGAGACGGCATCAAGGTATTCAACAGCACATTACTACACAGCAAGAAATTGTCTTCTGTAACAGCCAATATATTTTTCCAGTTGTCGGTGTTTCTTTTGTTTCACAAGCTGAAGAACGGCAACTTCAGCTAGCGAAAGACTGTTCTATCTTTATAAGTGTAGAATCTTGAATAGGTTTGGTTTGGAGGCTGACTTTTCTGCGCGACCCCTCGACATGAATGGTTCTGCGTGGCCTGACTGTCCCGGAGGGGTTCCAAGTCTTGCGACCGTGGTTGCCTTCTTCCTCCCAATTCATTTTGTCTACGGAAGCCACACCCGCCATTGTTGTCCATCAAAGTGTAAAGCTTATGGTGAGACGAAACATGCTTAAACCGATCACTCTAAACGTACAAGTATTGAATAATTGGAAACCCAAAAGCAGTTTCAAAGGGAAGGGCGTGTCCGCTTCCCTAAGTCCCATGGGGATTGTTAAGTCGGATGTATTAGAGCGTTAGTCACAGTAACAGTATAGTGGTGTGATGGTGAAAGCGGGTTTAACGTCGCGTCCAATATTATTGCACTTATATAGCGACGTGCATGTACGTGTGTGTGTGTTTGTGTGGCTGCTTGTACTAGTCCGGACTGATGCCGATTTATAGTGCTAGCTCACTGAGATACCATGCCGCAGTTTAACATGAATACCCCACTCAGACACAGTATACTGACTCTGAGCCGACCAGTCCTTGTTAATGCAGAGTAACAACAAGTACCATCTTTTAACGTATTTTGGTACGACTCCGGACGCTCTACCAGTAGACCACGGAGGCGGTCACCAGTATGGTGTGACAGCGGTAGCGCTATATAGCTTGGTATTTGAGCTCCTGGTATCCCGGCAGATTGCCTTGTTTACCATACAGTGCATTACCAAACGAGTACTTAATGCTTAGTAAAAGTTACAGCGTTCTCGGCTACAGCTGTTGATCCTGACGGTCATAGTGACAGGTTATGGTTTAGCGAATAAGACTACCTTTGTTAATGATGCAAAACTGGGACAGTGTCAAACCGGCCATTTTATCTCAGTCAAAAAGAACCAGTGAAATATCTCATTTTTCATCAAGGCCATATTATGACCATGTACAGTAGTCCATATATCCATATATATCGGAAGTGACTTATGAGTCAACAGGGCCATTAAAAACTCAGTTTATTTGAATTAGTTGTCTGTATAACCGAAGTGAGATATTGGGGAATGGACTTCCATGAATGTAAACCAGGATCCGCTACTATATTACAGTAGCACTTGGAGCCCGCATCGCTGCAATTATATTATTATTCCGCCGATTTTTGCTGTTATGGCCCTGTCACACTACAACGTTTTAGAGTAACTTGCACCTAGGGTGTAAAAGAGAGTTAGTACGCTGTCATACGTCGAGCTTTCACCGAAAAACCTTGATTTGGGCGTATCCATAGTATAGTATGGGTAGTATCACTAGTCGCGGTTGGTTGGTTGGTTTGTTGTTTAACGCCGCACTCAGCAATATTCCAGCTATATGACGGCGGTCTGTAAAATAATCGAGTCTGGACCAGACAATCCAGTCATTGATATCATGAGCATCGATCCACGCAATTGGGATCGATGGCATGCATCAACCAAGTCAGCGAGCCTGACCACCCGATCCCATTAGTCGCCTTTTACGACAAGCATTGTCGCCTTTTACGGCAAGCATGGGTTGCTGAAGACCTATTCTACCCCGGAATCTTCACGGGTAGGATTATTTGATTATTTGAGACTTTTTGCAAGGCAAAAGAATTAAGACCCTACGATTGCGTCACAACAATCCCTAGCGGAATACCTCCTACATTTGCGTAGCCAAAGACACTTGGAAGGTAGCACCATGATTTCGTAATTGGGTGCACTTAACTCAGTGTTGACGGTTCCGGAAAATCACAAGGTGATTAAGGTCACGGAACTACAGGCCCTATTACGCTCATTCATCCGCTTTGAGCATGGGACGCACGGAGTGGTACATCTCGGGTTTTGCTGGGATTTTTTGCTAAAATCAACTACCAGGCTAACCCGAGCGTTCCTTCACCATCATTCCAATATTGACTATTGTGGGAGCCGTACATGAAGGTGAATTTCTCCTGGGCTCGGGGCGAGCAGTTCGAGTTTTTATTCGCCGCTCCAAGACTAGGCGTTATTCGAAGTGGTTATTTATACCCGTGTTTACTACGTCCACGACCGAAGTTAGTCGCAAACACCATACCCCTATGATTACGCGCAGTCATCCTTCAGGCTTACGAGATAGCCAAACGGAATCCGCTGAGAGCGAATTACCCTCACGATCTCAGGGTGTTAGCCTTTACAATGGCTTTTCACTGCAATTGTTCTATGAGAACAATCACGGAAGTTCGACACAGTTTTCAGTTGTGGCTCTCGAGGCGTCGAAGGCGTGCGAAGTTTTGGCCCTCTGGTTGTAACCCAGCAGGTTACCAACCCGACGCAAATAATGAACTCGCCCTATACAGAGCCAGCCTACTTCCATGTGCAGTCACTCAGTTTCCGCCAGTGGAAGAATATTAGACAATCTTGTTTGTCAACGACGGCTGTATGACGTAGTAAGTAAAGACTTAGCTGATTAGCTATTATTTTCTTTATTACTAAATGTGTATAGGGAATTTCTCTTTAATTTCTATGTTCAATCCTTTTGATATTTGAACAACCCTACCGTAATGGCGTTTATCTGAACTTTTCCGCTTTACGGTTTATCGACCAACTGGTGTCGTATTTCAGGGTGTGAATTATTGAAGTTTCTGTATTCTGAAGGTTTACCTTCCTCCAAATCGTCCGATACAGATGCATTGAGGAGTAATGCAGGATAAATAAAGAAATAGTAAAATCTAGATATTTTTTACATTTGAAAACTTATCTTGCATTACTACGTTTAAGGCCCAAGGCCCACCCGTCGCAGACTTGACCCCCCCCCCCCCCCAATTAGGCTTCAGAAACCTCAAAAGTATGTTGTATTCCTAAGAGCTCGGGCGACAGGCGGTGAAGAAGGTGACCTCCTCAGGACTGCGGCGGCGAGGGTCAGTGAAAGAGACTTCAGAACAACAACATTATTTCTTCACCAAGGACCATCGCTGTTGCGCTGTCCTTCTAGTTGTCGTAAGGTAAGCAGTGAATGCAATAACGAGTAATGCAGGATAAGTATACAAATGTAAAAAAATATTTAGCTTTTACTGAGATTGTCTCGTCCCGACGCGATTATTTACAGACCGCAGCGATATAGCAATATACTATTGCCGAGTGCGGCGTTAAACAACAAACAAACAAAACATGCTTACACCCGGCAGTGACCTCCAGATGACGCCACGCTGACTCCCGACCAGAGCCTTTTTGTAATAGATAAATATTGAACTCTTGACTATCAATGTACACATTCTTATCTACCTGTACCCTTTGTTTGTATTTACTTTGAATGCTTAAAACATATACATATTGAAGCTGATCAGGTTCGGTGACCGGTCAACTGGAGGAGCCCTCTCATTATGCCAGCAGAGGTCTGGCAAGAGGGGCCTTTCATAAGGTTGGCGACCCTTGAAGTTCCGGGGTAGAATAGGTCTTCAGCAACCCATGTTTGCTGTAAAAGGCGACTATGCTTGTCGTGAGAGGCGACTAACGGGATCGGGTGGTCAGGCTCGCTGACTTGGTTGATGCATGTCATCGTATCCCAATTGCGATGCTAATGACATCAATTACTGGCTCGATTATTTACTGACCGCCGTCATATAGCTGGAATATTGCTGTGTGCGGCGTAAAACAATAAACCAACCAACCAATCATAAGGTCGGCAGTGGTCAAACATGAATAGGGATGACAAAACCCGGGACGAGCCTACGATAGAATATTTTGTCAAAACAGATGAAGAGACATTTCGAAGTCGTTACTACGAAGATATGGTGGTACATACGTCGTCATGAGTTTTACCAGTTCATAACATATTGTGTGACTTAAAAATACTTGTATATTTTGTTAAAAAAAAGTAGTACGTTATTCTCGTGGTGTGTGTGTGTGTGTGTGCGTGCGTGCGTGCGTGCGTGCGTGCGTGCGTGCGTGCGTGCGTGCGTGCGTGTGTGTGTGTGTGTGTGTGTTCATCCTGGTACTAACCAATGCTGGCATACACTGATATCCCAATTGTACACAGGTTCTGTTCATGACCCTCGGTGAGTGGACTGTAGGTCGGTTATAAATAAAATAACGACGGCCGGTTTGTAACACTATTGACCAACGATAGCTGAGAAGGCGTGTGAAGGGTCGTGTTTGTTGAGAGGCCATTATACCCTGACCAAACGTACAACTCATAATAGAGGGGGTGGGGTGGGGAGGGGGGCGGGGTCATTGGTCCCTAGCTGCAGCATCCTATGTTTGTCGCTTATGGGTTCTATACCTAGCTTGATTGTACTTGTCATCGTACGTCAAGGGGTAGTGTCGTTTTTGCAATATTAAATATCCGTTTTTTCATAATTCGCATCGGTGATATGTTAGCCAGGTACTATTGTGGTGCTGTCGCCGTGGTATCAGTTGATGAACAACTACAAGAAACATGAATAACTACATGTTAACCAGATACTGTAAACATGAGATAAACATTTGCATCTTAAGGACCGACCATTTGATATTCGGGGATTGGGCCTCGAATTTCAGCGATAAATTACATTGTCCCAGATAATTCTTAAATAAAATATTTATGCTTCAGACTGTTGAGATAAAATTAGATAATCTGCCACAAAAAGACCATTGTTGCAAAGTGTTTATATTTAGGATCATAGTTTTAATTAGAAACACAGTATCTGGTTATGCAACCGTAGCTGAAAAGATAATACCTACATGTAATCTCCATTCAAATCAGATAAGGGTTCTCGATAATGATTATACCAGTATATAATAAGTATGAGCCACATAACACCCATAACATCAGCTGAACGATCATAAGATAGAACCGTTTTGACACACACTGTTGTGTTACATTCAAAGCCATCTGAGCCAGGGGAGAGCGCGACAGAGAAGAACGCTGTTGACAAGGCACGCTGACCTTCTCACACACCACATCAGGTCTGACAACAGGGAGTTGGTCGTTAAGAGGAGAACTGTAAGCTGATATTACGGCGTATGTTTTACGATTTGTGTCCAAATCCGATTTTGTCATGAAATTACGATTCATTCTTCTGTGATAGGGATTGTCCAACACAAAACCGGGAATTTAGATTCAGGTGTTGTTCTGATCGCTTGATCCAAGGCTTATCTTAGGATGGTTCTTATTGGGGACTCGGCCTTGGTATAGCATAAGCTGTGTTTGAACCGGCCCCTATGTTATAAAAGTCCTGTCGCTTCATTGTTGCAAAACTTCTACCACTCGACCCTACTCTTAATAAAGGACATACGGTTTACCCAAAGGCTAATTAAATGCGATCATTATCTTTGTGTTTCATATTGGTGTTATTTAGACGCACATATTACCATGCATGTAAACTGTACCGTATTTAGTTAGACTTAATATCAATTCTAATTTTATAGGCTGCTGGTAGGAGTTCTGTTGTGTTGCCTCTTACAAATAAACATACAAATACTTCTTAACGCACATTGAGTGAATGGCGGGTGCTACCGCTAGGACAGAACATGCTTACCCTTTTCGCGCACACCTGGTGTCATAAAGTTTTCTCAGCTATTTTTCTTTTACGACCGAATATGTTTCGGTGGTTATTCGAGACTGGTTGATCTCTGGCGTAGCGTAGACGTTTATATTTACACAAATTATTGTCCACACATATCAATGCCGTCAAGACCCTTAAGATCACATTAACGTTTGCCATGGAGAATATTACAAGTGAGAATTCTGAATTCCAAAAACGTATTTGTCCTAATAATGAACATCAAGGTCTTACAACACTATTAACTTCATGCTGTACTTTTTTTTATCAATACATGACTACCTCGTTGTTCCTTTACAGACAGTGAAGACGCTACGGCGAGAAGGATGTACACGGATGACATCATCGAGGCCGTCGGGGGCATGTCCCGCTTCCAGATCCTCATGGTTGTCTTCATATTCGGTCCAAAGATGCTGATGGCCTGGGGGATGTTGATAATGTCGTTTGCAGGGACTACTCCGGATTGGTGGTGTCTCCCAGCTACAGCGCCCTCTGTTGATGAGACCTACTACATGAACAACGTCACATTCAAAATGTGTCCCACCTCGGAAAACATCACCTGTCAGGTTGTGTACAGCCAGGATAAAAACACTATCGTCAGTGAGGTAGGTAACCTTAATTCAGCCTCCTTTCAAACTTGTGTTAGAAAATAAGGAGTGTTCAATTTGATTGAAGATTAATATAACATTAAGCAATTTTACAGCTATATGACGGTGTCATGCATTGAAAAGAATCTGGAGAAAGACAAACCAATGATTGATATTATGAACAACGCCCAATACCGCCCTGGTACGATGACATGACAAATCAACTGAGTCACCGAGCATGACGACCAAATGATTGTGACCTCTTTTCTGATAAGCTTGTGGATTAAATCAAATTGGTAAACGTCTGACACCTGCATCACTTCGGACTTTCTTCCCACTTTTAGCTGACACGCCATGGTATAACAAAGATACTGCTGAAGCGGTGTTACGTCAAGCGTGGGTTGACTGGGAACCTTCGCTAATAGGGAATCCGGGAATCGCTGTCGCTCGTTCAGATTGCATAGAATGGTATTGTAAAATGATGCCTCTATATGAAAACGCATATAGTATGCTCTGTTGCTGTCACTGATTTGTCTCGTCCATACCCGATTATTTAAAGACTGGCGCGTTTAAAGCTGGTGTGGAGTGCGACGTTAAACTAACAGATATGCATTGATTTCTTCTTTCAGTGGGGTTTGATTTGTGACCGCAAAGAGATCAATCCTCTCGTCACATCAGTACAAATGGCTGGAGTCTTTGTTGGGGCATTGCTTGGCGGACAATCTGCTGACGTCCTCGGTCGGAAGTGGACTTACTTCGTCTGTCTGGTCCTTCAAGGTGGGTTCAACCTGATGGCAGCGTTCTCCGTCAACTGGCAGATGTTTACAGTGTTGCGTTTTCTCATCGGGATGATGACAGGCTCTCTTCTGGTGGTGTGCTACCCGTATTTCATTGAGTTCGTTGGAAAGAAATGGCGATCACTTGCATCGGCAATTCCAGTCTGGGTAACTGGTTTATGTGCATTTGCCTTGTCGAGCTGGTTGAGGCCCGACTGGTCTCATCAACACATCATATTGGCTGCCCTTCATCTGCCCTTCTTTGCGGGATGGTTGTAAGTATCTCAAGTCGAGAGTGATAAATTGTCAGAGCCTCCATCCAACCCACGAATGGTTGACCACTAAGCCTTTGATTAAATGCTGCATCATTAGCATCCAAAAAATGTCAATATGATAATCATACACTACTAAAAAAATGAAGTTTTGCATGAACCTGCACTTTTTTAACTAACTATACTACCTCCAAAACATACCAATATAGTCTGATTATTTAAAGCCACATTCAGCAATATACCAGCTATATGACAGTGGTCAGTAAATAATTACATCTGGAGTGGACTAAGCAGATATTGGGCAAAGATATGACCCGCTCTGTGGTGTGGTGGTAGAGCGTCCGCCCGGAGAGCAAAAAGATGGTACTTGTTGTTACCCTGTCTGGCGCTCGGCATTAAGGGGCTAAAACAAGGACTGGTCGGCTCAGTCGCAGCCAAACACACACACACACACACACACACACACACACACACACACACACACACACACACACACACGTGCATGCTCGTCGCTATATAAGTGCAATAATGCTGGACGCGATCTTAAACCCCATTTCACCTAACCACATTGCGCAAAGATAGCAGTCAATCAACAAGTCGCCAAACCTGACCACCTGATCCGTTCAGATCGCCTCCGTGGTCTACTGGATAGGGCGTCTGCACAGAGAGCGGAAGGTCAGTGGCCCGATCCACTGCAGCGTCATAGCATACGAAATCAAACGACGGTACTTGTTGTTTCCTTGCCTAGGGCTCAGCATTTAGTGGATTAAAAACAAGGACTATTCGGCTCTGAGATGGTATATTTTGCCGGAGTGGGGTAACTCTGTCAAACTTTGGCATGGTATCTCTTTAGGCCTAGGACGATAATACCAGCATTACTCGGACTAGTACAAGCAGCCACACGTACGCACATACATGTGCACAACACACACACACACACACACACACACACACACACACACACACACACACACACACACACACACACACACACACACAGATTTGCAGATTCATTTAATATGCATGACTGGTATCCCAAGTTCATCAAAATTTGCGAATTTGGAAATAGAATTCAAAGCCATTGTTAACGCTTTCCACCTGACTCTTACCTATCTATTCCGGACGCTGCCAGCTTTGTCCCAGAGAGTCTGCACTGGTTGGCTGTCAAAGGGCGGACTGATGAGGCTGAGAAGGTCGTGGATCAGATGAGTCGATACAACAAGAGAGAGAAGCCCCAAAACACACTGCAGCTGCTGAAACAAGTTGCAGAAGAGGAGAAGAGTCTGAGATCGTCTGGCAGCAAGTACACCTACCTGGACATCTACCGGGGCTGGAGCATCTGCTGGAAATCTCTCATCATACAGTTCGTATGGTAAGTACAGTGAGTGGGTTTTAAAAAGAGTTAATCTGGGAATCGAAGCTCCGATCAACGGATCCTGTCACAACAAGGTACATAACACAGAGAATTTGGACAACTCAGACTTCAGGGCCTAGATTTTTGAAACGATCTCAGGTGAGATAAATCTTAACAACTTACGTTCAAAGATTAGATATCTTAAGTTTAAGATACGATAGTGTTTGAAAACTATCGTAAATCTGACAGAGAACTCATTTGTGTTGGAGATTAAAAAAACGGGATGTTTCCCAAATACGTCACGGGGATTTCCAAGCCGCTAGCAATAACAACACGGAGAAGTGAGACGGAATTCATGATGACATTGTTAGGTCACACTGTTTAACACGCAACTGTTTCAGTGACATTCCGTACAATCCTAACTATGTCCTACATGTAGACGTTTTGTTCTTATGATAAAAAAAGATGCCATGACCACCCGAACATAAATAGCTTTCGTGTTCAATGCAAAGACAATTTTCAAGCCCAATAAATGTTATAATCAATAAGTATTGTGTTACTACAAATGCCTCTAAAAGAAGTTAATCGCTTTTAGAATTGAAATAATGTGCCAAAAGATACTTCACTATTTTCCCTTCCAATGCTACTCTCGCGAGCGCGCAGAACTTTATATAAACACATCGCGTCAAGTGAAGGACGAAAGTAAGGGACGTTATTCTAAATGACAATGACGAGACCTTTGATCGAACAGCAGGCGTTCAGCATTTAAGATGCGTGTTCAAGTCTGACGATACGTGATGTATACTGGGTCAGTTTGACAATACTGCATGTTTTTGTGTGTTTAGGTCAAAAGTCAAATTTATAGAAAAACACCAACATTATACCTGGAAACACTCAAAAACAAAAATTGTTCAGGAAGCAGCGCACCCACGAGCGAGCTATAATGACAATGAAACCTAAGTTTGTTTGTTATTTATGTTTCTAACATATTTCACGAATAAACCAAGGTCTCCAATACAATATCAAGCTATTTGTATTTAGATGATGTAATTTTTTTTATCTTTCTGGATCCATAATTCTTTTTTCCAAATTTGAAAGTGACACAAATTTTCGTTCACAAAGAGAGATCATTTAGGAATGGTCAAGTTATGTTGTCTTATGGAACACGCCACAAATTATCATGAACATACATGTAACGTGGTCCTTTTCTATCCTTTTAAATTAAGCAGAGCTAATAAATGATTTGTCTGATTTCATTTAAATCTGGCTGAGGAGCGAAATATCTACATTGTAAATGTGTAAAATCTATTCCCTAACGAAGTTCGATGACGTTTGGCTTGTTTGACAGCATTCCTGAGGGTCATTTAATTGTATTTGTCCGATGACCCTATCCTTCACAATGATTTTTCTCAAGTATTTATATTTTTGTTAACAACATCGGGTAAATGTACACATAAACTTAAAATTGACCAACATCAAATATTATTTTAAAATCGGTCCATTGAATTCAGAGATATATTAATCAGTAAATTTCATTTAATAAACATTTTCTGCGAAATATATTGGAAATTGAATTTTTGACAATGGTCAAATGTTTCATTTTGACAACAGCATGGGAACCCATTTTTTATTTGATTTTTCAAATCGCAATTCTAGAAAATAAGATACAAAAATATGTGCTTAACTTACTAACTTACTTACTGTCAAAATATCAACAAATTGCTAAATTTAATGGAATATATCTATGCTGTTAATCACTTGTTTTTAAGGAATGCAGTTGTTCAATAGACGATATTTAATCACATTTTATCAAATATGTTTCTTTCAATAGATAACCTACATGTAGGTGTTGTTTTTAAAACGAAACAAAATACAATTACATTTGCTAGAAAAAACATTGAATATTCTCTTTATACAAATATATTATACATATATTTGATCACATGTATTTCCTTGCTAAATCAAAAAATATTACACTGTATAGTTATATTAAATCATTGAAACCGCTCGTCCCACACTATTTTAGATGTAAAACTTGATGAAAAACGCTTATGGTTTTGCACTTCTCACATACGTAGATTGATATAATTTTATAAAATGTGAAAATAAAGACTATAACATTGTCACAACTGAGATCCAGAAAATATAACAGCGGAACTCTGCGCTTTATGAAAACTGTATTATTGAGTAAGGTCTCGCGAATACAAAGGGAAACCAACTAAGATTAGCTGCCCCTTGGTTATCAATAAGGTCACGGTCATTACTATAGTCTGCCGACGCCTTCCATTTTTATCCTTCCCAAATTTTCGAAAAGGTATGTTATTTCACACTTCTTCAGCATGGACTCGGATAGAAATATATTGTAAGCTATCGACTCCATAGTTATGTGGATTGCTGTGACGATCAACAACATTTCTGGAATCTTTGATGCGTTCCTCGTTTTTTCTAAGTGTCAATTTGAATCACACAGTTTTCACAAAATGAAATGTCAAGGTTTGAACGGAAAGCAGATTATTTGTTTGAAAAATATCTTAGGCAAAGTATGCCGCCATCTTGGATGAAGGTAGAAAAAGCCAACGACAGGAACTGGGCTATCTTAGATTTTCGACAAACTTAAGATATCTTTGGGCTACGGTAGTTTCGAAAATATTCTACGATAACCTACGATTTCCTTACGATAACTTCACGTTAATTTTAGGGCTACGATTGTTCTCAAGATGGAGCGAGAAGAAGCATTCGATTTTTTGTTTATTTCTCAACAAAGGAATTACAGTTCTCCGACCATATTAAAAGCATATTTTGGTCGTCTTGATTAACGAAAACAATATTTATTAAACTTCAGCGATATGAAAAAATAATGTTTTTCAGGGCGTGTCTGTCGTTGGTGTACTATGGGATATCGTTCGGTGCAGGAAGACTCGCAGGCAACCTGTATCTGAACATCTTCCTTCTGGGAGTGGTGGAAGTGCCAACTACAGTGCTGACTTTCTTCACAAACAACAAGTAATCTCATCTCTAGGTGTATTTGTTTGCATGTTATTTAACGGCATATTCAGTATTATTCCAGCTATATGGCCTGTACATCGATCCTTGCCCAGATGATTCAGTGACTGATATTATGGGCAATGGTCCACACTGTCGGGTGCGAAGACACCCTCTTAACCAAGTCAAGGATACTGACCAGTCATTCCATGAGTCGCTTTGTCAGACAAACACAAGTTGTTGACAATGTGTTCTAAATCTGACTCGAGGCCATGGGTTGCCCAGTCTTCTAAGGCACTGCAAATCGCTTTGCAGAGTTGCGTCACCTGGGCACGCCAGAAACCTATGATTGTGGGTTCGAATCCCGGTTCGCCCTGGATACGTTTCTGGGTTTGTCAGCACCATCTCCGTGCTGGTGGGTTTCACCGAAGTGATAAACGTCTGAGACCTGCATCATTGCAGGCTTTCCTTCTACATCAAGCTGACACGCCGTGATATAACTTGAATACTGTTCAAAGAAGTGTCTTCCAACGGGTATCTTCACAAGATAAAACTGTTTCTCCCAACGTTGTGTGAATAGGAGATCAGCGGCTACTTTTTATTTTTTTTATAAATCGTTGGACTGGTCTCAAGACAATAGTATTGACACATGTTGTGGAATTAGAATTAAATTCAGCTCGTGGACAAGGCCGCTTGAAATCACAGGTTAATTTTCTTAAGCCAATACGTAGGGTAGAAGGTCAAAATGTGTTACTGAGTTCCTACTTGTATGTCTGAAAAAACATCGTCAACACCCTGGTAAAACACTGTTGAATTCATAAAGTAAAAAATAAAATTTTTGTTTTCTCATATTGCTCAAACTCCAGGTGCAAATACCTTTGTTATCAATCGACTGCCTGTATCATCCTCTGAAGTTTTCAGATGTTGACATCTTCATAACTGAAGATGACCGCATCTATCATATTTAAAGAAGGTTTCAATGTCGAGTTTAGAAAGAAACAACAACGGCATCTATCTGAAGTAGTGAGTTGTCCCTTAGTGTACATGCACGCCAGGGAATAACTGGTCTAGATTACATACCGAAAGAGATACCTTTGGTAGTAAAAGGCAATGCAATGGCGAAATTATATGAATAGATAACTGAAAATCAGTTATGACATCAGGTTCCGCGAAAAGGGTAAGCATGTCCTGCTCTACACATCCACAATTTCAAAGAAGAATGTGGGTTTCTTTTCAGCCTTCTCCCATTCTAGCAGCTACTACTCCAAATTGTGTACGACAAAAGTTGTGTTTCACATTGCTGCCGGTGGTTTTGTGTTTCACATTACTTCCATACAGTATGGCTATTCTTATATTTTTTGTAATGAATCCAGCTCATATATTCATATACATGTACACGTACAAAACTAACATGATGTCCGTTTGTTAGGTTAACCCTATTTCTCATGCTTGAAATATTGTTGATAAGACGTTACGTTTGAACTCGTTCACTCATCAACCTCATTGCTTATGTTTCGTAGATTTGGTAGAAAATGGACAGCGGTTGGTTTCTTTGCTGTTGCCACTTCCGCTGCTTTTGGTGTTGCAATCATTGCGAAAACAGGTGTGGATTTGTAATGGCAAAGTTCATTTGTCCGTCCTACTGTCATGAATTGAACTGCATGACAAATTGATATGTGCCAGTGAAATATGTTTTAGGAAATGATCTGCAGTTCACCTTTTGAGTCCTACACATCAGTGCATTGTTGACTTCAGTAGACGTCATACTGGAACTATTAACTGTCGCCTTATTTGTAACATCATTCATGACGTACTTTCTCTACAATTCAGTAAGAAGTGGTAATCGATTTATCTTTGTTATCAACAGTCGTGCTTGATTTAGCTGTGCTCTCAACATGATTAATACTGTGAATTTGAAGTGATGTACGATTGAGCTGTGCTCGAACATTAACCAGTACCGTGAATATGAAGTGGTGCGCCAGTTAGCTGTGCTGTCACATTTATCAGTACTGTGATTATGAGGTAATTTTCGATTTAGCTGTGCTGTCAAATTAATCAATACCGTGAATACGAAGGGGTGCTCGAAGTAGCTGTGCTATCACATGAATCAGTACTGTGAATATGAGGTAATTTTCGATGTAGCTATGCTGTCAAATCAATCAATACCGTACGTATGTTTCAGTCTCAAAAGACGAACAGGGAGTCATCATTAACGTCTTGGCTCTGGTGACCAAACTCGGTGTTGGTGGAGCTTGGGCTGCCTACGCGTTGTGGTCAAATGAGACGTACCCTACTGTCATAAGGTACCGTACACGTAATAATTCAGGACATGACGTCTCTATCTTATGTGGCTGATAAATAGCGACATTCACGAAGTACATAATTGGACTTTGACGTGACAACCAATAACGTTCAGCTATCATACAGCCCTTAATATTTGCCAAAATGCTCAATGTTTTGTTTGCATTTTTTACAGAAATTTGGGTTACGGAGCAGCTAATACAGCAGCCCGAGTTGGTGGCATGATCGCTCCATACGTCTTTGCAGGGGTATGTTCATTGTTCAGTGAAGTCCATTGAGTCACTTCCGTGAGGCTATTTGCTGACTGTAAGATGTCGGACATTTTTTTCAACTATGTAGAAATATCTTCCTTCGTGCAAAAGTGGCATGGGTGGAAAATAACCCTAAGGCGCCGCAATTCGCTGTGCAGAGTTGTGTCCCTTGGGCACGCCAGGAACCTAAGATCCTGGGTTTTAATCTCGGTTTGCCCTGATTGTGTTTTTAGGTTTGTCCACATGTGGTAAACGGCTAAGATCTGCACCTCCTCGGGCTTTCCTCCCACATTAAGCTGACGTTGTGACACAACTGGAATACTGTTAAAAGCAGAAGTCACTCCCCTAATTATGAAGTGACATTTTGTTTTATGTAAGATCTTATTGTTCTATTTATATACTGAAATAACTATTGGTATTCAGGCTTTTTAAAATTTTGAATGATATCAATGATACTCAGCTCCGTCATCAGGTGACTGTGATTCAACTTTGCAATAGGATATAGTTATAATCACTTAGAGCAGTGCGGACAAACAAGTAACAACAAAAAGAAAAACAAGGAATTCGGCATTGACTTGTAATACATACCACTTGAGCATTTAATACGCTTTCAATTATGTGCTCACTCACCGTCCATCAGACCTAAAACAACTAAATTTGAGACATTTATGTAATGTAAAAAAAACCACTATTGCCAGGCACATTATGAAAAAAATCATTGACGAGTAGTGTGTTAGATTTTGACATAAAATAACAAAACACCACTGCAGATGAAAACATTCAATATCATTTTGACAGGGCGATGGTAACCTCGTGGAGCCTTTCGTCATCGTTGGTTCGACCATGGCCGTCTGTGGAGTGTTATCTGTCGTAATGAAGGACACGAAGGACCAGCCTCTGGCAGACACCATGGGGAATCAGAAGAACACACGCGGGGATGTGACGATGGTGGCGAACCATAAGGACATAGAAACCCAGGAAGCTTTAGCCAGTTTGTCTTGAATAAATAATTCCAGGAGTTGAAGGCTGTGGAGACTTATTCGTGTGTGTGTGTATCTGTTGATGGCACAAGACATCTTGTTGAGGCGTAAAACCAACACTGGAACGTTGCATGATTAATTCAAGGATGACAAAAATAGGCGAAACCTACTTGATCGAAAGCATCTCTTTGTGTGTCATCGTTCTGTGTCAGCAATGTTCCTGGACACACTGACTAATATTTAGTACACTCTATTCAGCCCTGACACACCCCTGTCGCCACGTGCTCCTACAGCCACTGCAAACACGAAAACGTCGTTTTTTTCCGTATATGGTCATTGGACGGAAAAACGACGTTATTTGGACGTTTTCAAACCATCGTTTTTCCGTCCAAATAACGTCGTTATTTGACATCGGAATTTACTGGGAGAGAACGATAGCGTTAAGCTCCTCCCTTTCTTGATTGACATTGTCAATCAAGCAACAGCGTCTACCGGTATTTCTACTTCTCAGTTTTCATTGGTCAGTCCCCACGTGTTAGATTACAGGCCCGCGTTTGACGCTGCACTCGAAGCGCTTAGCGGAAGTACTGAAATCAATCGTTCTGCGCATGCGGATTACTTAATGCCTTGACCAAATTTTCCGTTCTGTGCATGCGCGATTTCGCGTATTGTTTCCTAGATTTAATGTCACCACTATTTGACAATGGTTCATAAACACAGTCACGTGAAGGTTCGGAATCGTAACGAGTAACTCCATTTAAATTGAAGAGTATCCCCAGTGATATGGGAGATTCCAAAATGAAACTATTCTATGGCTATCTAGGCTGCCACCCAAACCGATCTAAACGGGACCCGATAGCTTATTGTATGCTATATAGTCATATGGAAGTGGACAAGAACTATACATTGTATTCCGGCTGATTGTTCTTGCATTTACTTATAAGTCAGGAAAATGGACTTAAAAGGGGAGTTGTTGAATGTAATTATTTTAATTATTAAATGTTGCCTATACACTAATCTGGACGAACTTCTCATTGTTCTGTTTATGTCATCCTATATACTATTAGTATGTTACCGTTCTAAAGTCAACCTCTCACATACATGTAACATTATATTGTTCATAGTATCAAAGTTTAATCAACAATATCAAGAGCAGCGATTTAAACCACTGAAACACCCAAACACAAGGCTGTTATCAAGCGCTAGTGTAGACGTGATGCATCGTAAAAACTGTATCGTGATGTCTTCAGAAATAAAATTATACTTCGAGATAGTACGGCTAACGCTGACTCACCGGTGGAACAAAGACAATATCGCTAATACAGATATAACGTATTTGAATGTTAATACTAAAGACAAACAATCATTATTTTTGCAGTGACGATATAACACGTATACACGTTTATTGTTAACTTTCATCAGTTTTGCTCTTCATTTTAATAACTTTGTTTTCACATATATATGTAGCAATACCCGACAAGCATGTTATACATAATTATGGGGCAGTTTTCAATCTTGTACTGACTTACTCTGGTGTTAATGAGCGAAGTTTATTGGCTTGTGTGTAAAACCCCGTTTTTCTGGTAATCCTATTATTACTTAGTTTATTTCTATCTAATGACACCCTGTACTCTGGATCATGGCACCGTGACTATCCATAACAATTAAGATGAACATTCAGTTCAAGTAAATAAATGAGTTTGTTTTGACGCTACAGTCAGTCAAAAAACCAATGCTGTGAGGTTTGATAACACACTTCTACCAGGTCGAACATCGTGGATCCTCATTTTCTGCCTAAAGAGAATCATAGTTCATATGCTAATCCATCTGCGAATACCCTCCCACTCAAGATGACCTTACTTGTTGCTAAATCTATCATCTATCCCCCGAATCTCACCCACCCCCCCCCCCCCCCCCCCCGCCACCCACCCGCACGCACGCACGCACGCAAACACGCACACACGCACACGCACACACACACACACACACAAACAACTGACCTAAACTAACCTGGACAGGAAATACTGCTGATCGTAGCCTCAGGTCAACTCAGCCGCGCCACCGCAGAATGTTCGTCCAACTCTGCAGGGGGCATTCTCAGTGGCTTCAAACGCGCTGAAATGTTTTCGCCTTGCATCCAAGATGCCGGACAAGTAAAATCGTATGAAATTTGGCTATTAGGTCCTATCTCTTTTTTGATTACCCAATAAATTCAATTCATAGTTACACGGTTGTGAAGAAGCTTACAACTTTATAAGAGTGACTTATTCATCTCATTCCAAAAAAGCTACTCGCGCTCACATAAAGTTGTAGTTATTATGTCACTGTTTTATTTCTTTAAAAATATATTACATGTTTAACAATAACAATTAAGATGAACATTCAATTTCCGATATAAGTAAATGAATAAGTGTGTTTTACGCCACAATCAGTCAAAGACCAACGTTGTCCGGTCTGATGACACACAATCTACCAGGTAGCACATTGTGTACACCCTATCCCCATTGAAGTCTCCACTGTGGGTATTCCTGGGGACGAAAAGGCCCCATGTACCTAGGAATTTCATCAATACATTCATGCGCGGCATTCTCTGCCTAAAGAAGATCATATAGTTAACATGCTAATCAAACTCGAACTACCATCCCGCTCAAGATGAATGTTTTATGTAACATCAAACAGGCCCACATTTACGCACGCACGCACGCACGCACGCACGCACGCACGCACGCGCACACACATATTTGGATTTACCAATCCCTGAATTGAGAAGACGTGCGTTACGAAGCTCCTCCAAGTCATCATCAATATCCGTATATGTCTGTGATATCATTACCCATCCAAAGCCGAATATACATTTATTGTGTTATCTTGACAACAAATGTTATAATTGGGATAACACTTTCTGAGTAAAGTACAGATTCTCGTACTTTCTTGGGTTGAGTCCCGTCCGGGATTTGAACCCACACTGTGAGTGAGGCACCCAATCGCCAGAACACAAAGTTGGCGATCTAACCCAGCAACCGAACCAAATGTTAGTCCAGATGACGTATACTTTGTGTACTCCTCTGACAAGAGAAAAATGGCACGGCTTCTATGACCGAAAGCTTTGAACCAACAATACCTTTAAGAAAGTGGTCAACAGTAACACACATTATATTTGGATGCCACTTAAACTACATATTTTTAGGGTGGAGATAATAGACGTTGATGGTTGATTATCAATGGACAAATTAAAGCAAAAACTTAACTTATGAATGATTGGTAATGGGAAATGGACAATGGGCAAACGGGAGGCGGGGTAATCAGCGCCATGCCAGTTATCTGTTGGCTTCCCTTGTTGCGTTCCCTTCTTTGCTATCTTTTTACTTTTGTTGTTCTTACAGGTACAAATATATGTTCTCTGCCTCATAGCATTTAATAACATGCACCTGATGAAGGAGGAAGTACATATTCCGAAACGCAGTGTTCCTCCGTTGACATCCATAAATATTTTTCTTGTGTGTATCAGTTCTTAATGCCCTTCAAAGACTCAATCTAGCTTTGTTTTTAAATGTGGTGATACTTGCGTAGAATATAATATGGTCATGCCTATATACATTTGGGTCTTTGTCTACATAAGCATTTAGACATACAATTTAAAGCTAAGGACATTGCTAATTCTGCAGGCATGAAGTACACGTCATAGCAAGCTGTATCTTTATTCATACTTTAGATATTCGTAATGGAGATCTGTAACTGAAGTTTACCGTAATCTTCCGCAACTCTCACCTCCTGACCAGTTGAACGTCTTAGTGCATTCAGATGCCATTGTAAAATTCCAGGCTGCCCCTCTTTCTGTGATGTTTTGACGGATGAAATCTATTGCGTTATAATAATCTCTGTTTGCTGATATATAATATGTACATGTTGTAAAATATTTACGATATTTTAAACGTGTAATACGATGCATATTCAATGCAATGTGAACATAAGTGCGGATGCACGAAGGCGGTTATAGTCATAGTTATACTGCGATGGATGTAGGGGAATGGTAGGGGGGTGTATGTATGTATGAAAGCACGAATACCGATACATGAGGGCGGATATAGTTATAGTTCGATGGATGTTGGGGAATGGTGGGAGGATGGATTATGTATGAAAGCATGCGCATGGATCCATGATGGCTGACGTAGACATAATGGTGGGGAAAGAAGAATGTGATGTGTGTGTGTGTGTGTGTGTGTGTGTGTGTGTGTGTGTGTGTGTGTGTGTGTGTGTTTGCGTGCATGCGTGCATGCATTGTGATACGAGGGTTGGCGAACATGTTGTCAGATGATTGTGTGAGTAAGTTAAGTGGTTGAGGATGTGGCAGGTATGAGTATTGGTACATGCAGACTTGGGGTTGGGGGACTGGGTGTGCCTGTACTGAGGTCTTTTGTTTCACTCACTTATAGTGTTTTCTTTCACTCAAATACTGTTGTACGCATTTTAATGATTTTAGTGACTCAAAGGTCATACTGGCCGGGCATTCAACATATCTACCCCAACTACATACGTAGCCATTTTTATGGTGTACAATTCTTCTTCTACCTCTCTCTCTCTCTCTCTCTCTCTCTCTCTCTCTCTCTCTCTCTCTCTCTCTCTCTCTCACACACACACACACACACACACACACACACACGCATTATTTGTTTTATTAAATGTATCTTCGAGAGTCAGTAAGAAACTAGAAATAACTGCCTTTGTTCTGTAAACCTCACCAAGTTTCAGCTTTCGCCTCTTCCTTTGTGGACTGAGGTTTCACATTTGTAAAATGATCTCTCTTATCTGTCTGTACCATCAACTTAACTGCCCTCACCCCCTGCAGTTTTTCCGTCCCATATTGCCAAGCAGGTGACCCGTAAGGAGGAATACCGCCCTCCCTCAGTCCAGTGATACTGTGCCTAGCACAATATGTTGGGGATACGT